AATGGCCTGGCTTCACATTTACCGTCCCCCGCCTCTTCCTCTGCAATGCTGGATTATAGACATGTTCCCCCACATCTGTGTCCAGTCATCAGCCCTTCAGGTCAATTTTGGCCAGTTCCTAGACACAGTAACATCTTAAAAATCTTGATCAAGTACGTCAGTCATTATACAATTTGTTATAATTCCCAGCCACCCCCCCCCCCCCCAGCTACATGACCATGCATGTCCTGTCCATTAATCAGGCAGAATACTTAGTCATCCCAGGGCCTTGCGTCCTATGTAATCTGTGCTCTACATGATCGTGTAACCCGCGTGACCACATAATCTATGCACATGCATAGCGTAGCTACATAGGCCCATATGCATATGCTTGAGGGACCTATAAAAGTGAAATCCACCCATTCCCCTGCCCCCTTTTCCACACCATTTATTTCTAGTAGGCCTCTTGCACAATCCCTCTTTTCTCTCCCCCAATAAAAACTCTTACAGTGGATTTCATTGTACCTCGTGTTTTCTCTCACATGGTAGATGGTGCCTCAAATAAAGAACACAATTGACAACAGATAATTTATTTTGGGGGGATATGCATTTATTTAGGTCATATTTAGATTGGTGTAGCTAATCACCAACTCCCATTTTAAATATCCCAATTTGAACTGTTTGTTTGCTTATACATCAATTAAGGTTAATATGATTCTTGATTTTTATTTTTGTTTGAATAGTATTCTTGACTTTTTCTCCTGGATTACAAATTACTTAAAACATAATACTAAGATCTTCTGTGTTTCTGTTCATTTTAAACAAAATGTTCTATTTGAACATCATATGTATCATTAGATAAGTAACAGGAGAATAGCCAGGAATGGTGTTTGTGAGCCTGCAATCAGCGCTCTAGAGGCAAGGCACAAGGATCGTGAGTTGAGACCTGACTGAGCTATAAAAGACAAAGAAATCAATCAATCAATCAATAATAAATAAGTAAATAAATAATAGGCAATAATAACAGAAGATACTTCTGTAATACCTTACCTTTTCTAAACACTTGTCTAAGCACTTTACATGTATTAGCTTATTTATTTTTCACAACTCTTTGAAGTGTGTTCTCTCATATACTTATTTTTAAACTAAGGAGCTTGCAGTGTGTGTGTGTGTGTGTGTGTGTGTGTGTGTGTGTTGAGGAATGTGTCCAAGATCGCAGCTGGTAAGGAGGGATTTGAAGCTTCAACTAATCAGTCTGACTGTTCTTCACTACGATATTAAATGAAAAATACTAGGCAATCAAAATTGTATGTTGAGCTCATTTTTAAATATTATGGATCCTAAGTGCTGTCTGATGTTTGTGTTCGATTCCCATCACTACTACAAATACCTGAGTTAAGGCAACTTCAAAGAAGGAAGTGCTCATTTTGGTCCACAGTTTTAGAGGTTTGGGTCCATTGGATGTTTGTCCCATGGGGGAGGCAGAACCCTGGGGCAGGTAGAGTGCGGAGGACCAAAGTGACTTCACCTCATGGTGGATGGGATGCAAAGAAACTGAGAAAGGCCCAGGAGCCCAATATACTCTTCAGTGAGACACTCCAGTGATCTTGTCGTCTCCCACTAGACCCTCCTACCCCTACAGGTTTTATCACCTCCTAATAACCCGGGCCGAGAACCCAGACTTTAGTGTATGGGTCTTTGCAGGACAGTTGACATTCAAACCTTAAGTGTTCTCCCCATATCCATATGTTGAAATCCTAACTGCCAGGGTCAGTAGTTTTAGGAAGTAATTAGCTTTCATGAACAAGTAGAACCCCCCTTGAATCGTACTGGTACCTTATAAAGGAGGCCCATGGGAAGTCAGTCTCCAGTCTCAGCACGTGAGGGAGCAAATGACACATCTGTCAGTGTGGAAGCAGGCCCTACACAGAGCAAAAGTGCCAGCACCTAGACCCTATGCTACCCAGCCCCCAGAACAGTGAGGGCTGCCTTTCTGTTGTTATTATGACATGTGACATAGTATGACATGTGTCATGCTACAATAACTGAAATGGATTCAGATACTAGGTTTTTCCCCATGCCCTCCTTTGTGGCTATTAAGAAACCTTTTTAAATTTAGCAACATTTACAACCTGCTGAAATGATTATTTTCTCTTCCTCATTAGTAATGTAATAGTTTTCCTGTTATGAAAGTAAAAAGTACCCAGGGCTTTTGTATAATAGAGTAATTATATTTATTGACGGATGCATTTTATGGCAAGTCACATTACCATTAACCTCTCAAACTAGGAGCACAGTTCTGAACATTCCTTTTCTATGGCTTGGCCTGGCAGGAGACAGACAAAAATAAAAGCAAGGCTGACAACCAGAAACATGTCAACTGGAGACCTAGAGAAGGCTTACACAAAACACCTTCTTTGGAAAGAATTTTTTTTTTTTTTAAGACGGGGTTTCTCTGTGTAGTTTTTGGTGCCTATCCTGGATCTCGCTCTGTAGACCAGGCTGGCCTCGAACTCACAGAGATCCGCCTGGCTCTGTCTCCTGAGTGCTGGGATTAAAGGCATGCACCTCTGCTGCCTGGCTTGGAAAGAATTTTAAACTTACAAGGAAGTTGGGAGAAGCATACTAATTTGTAGGAAAAAAAAAACATGAGAAACAAAGTAATTCATAGACAACAAACACACCTTTCATTCAGATTATACTATTGTTTGACTTTACGCCATTTGCTTTGCCATTCTCTATGGATGGGTATGTATGTGTTTACAAACACACTCATATATTGTTCTGAAAACGTGAGACTAAATCACATACATATGGTCCATTACCCAACATGTCATGTATTTTCCAAGAACAGAGACAGTCTTTGCCTTAATCACAGTTCATTATAATCTAATCCCCTGTGTGTACTGTAATTCACAGACTGACCCAATGTTTTCCTTTGTAACATACACAAGACACATCCAGGATCATTCACTGCAGGTAGCTGCCATGTATTTTCAGTATAATGTAATCTGGAAGATTTCCACAGCCTCCTTTTATCTTTTATGACATTGGCATTTTGAGTAATCCAGTCAATATCCTCGTTCGTTTTTAAATAAAACATTCCTCATTCTTTAATTTCTTGGTTGATTCCTTTTGATTATTCTCACATGTGGATGCCCAAACACAATGTTCAATAGATGACATTACTTCCTTTGCAGGGTGCATGTTGCTCGTCTGCCCTTCATTGGTGAGGTTTATTTCAACAACCCAGTCAAGTGGCCGTTCAGTTTTGACACCTCATATGCATTATTTCTCCCCCTTGAAGTGCATTAGCAGTTTGTGTGAGAATGCTTTAAAACTGTGATGTCATCAGCAATTTGACAGGATTTGGAGTCAACTGGGAGACTCACTACTCACTGTCTATGAGAATGTTTCCAGAGAGATTCTACTGAGGAAAGAAGAGCCACTGCATGTAGGTGGTGTCATTCCCTGGGCTGAGGTCCCAGCCTGGCTAAAAAGGAGACAGCTCGCTGAGCACAGGGTGCATCTCTCTCTGCTTCCTAGCTGCAGATGCAATGTGACCAACTGCTTTCTGCCTCCGTCACTCTTGCTCCACCATGATGGACTGTATCCTTAAGCTGAGAGCTGAAGTGAATCCTTCCTTCCTTCAGTTGCTCTGGTCAGCTGTGTCGTCATAGCAACGAGAAAAGTAACCAGTGACAAACAGGCTTAAGCTCCTCCTCCTCATCACAGTTTCTTCTAGCTTTATAATCCATTGATAATTTCGCTTGAGCCAATATTTGCTGTGGTGGTTGGAAACCAATGCCTGTTTTCCAGAACTCCTTTCAAGTTTAGCTGCTGGTGCATGCACTCTACAGCTCCTTCCCATCTTCTGTCTACCATCCACCACCTAGCCACGATATCAGCACAGAGTCTTGGGTTACTCTTTTTCCCAGTGGTTTACAATTCATGATGATTTAATTTATGAATTTCTGATTTATTAATGGTTCTAAACTTGTGATTTATCACGTGTTTTTACATCCAAATTGCCCCAAGTTTAGCCAATGGAAGTTTATTTGTGTTCAGATAACACACCTCTATCATTTCTTTGAGTATTTTTGATTTTTAGTGCATAAAAATGTTTAAATCTCTCTTAACACCTACTCGATACTGATGTGAAATCAGCCATCTCTCCAGGGGACTTTGGTTCCTTTTGGTGAGAAATGGCATTAGACACCAAGCCCCGAGTGCTATTCCTGGGCTATCTGTACTTCTGAGCTCTTTGGGGAGACAAAACTAGGAGACCCAAGCATGTAAACACACAATAGGTACAGGCACACATCACACACATACACATGTAGTTGTGCTTGTACAATTGTATCTCTTTATGAATATACACACAGCTTAGAGACTGTGTTAGTCAGACATTGTCCCTGTGACAAAACACCCAATATAAACAATGTGTGTGTGTTTGGGGGCGGGGGTTGCTGGTAGCTTTGGAAGTCAGACTTCCAAATGCTTAGTTAGTTACAGTAGTTCTGGGCCTGAGATGCCACAGAACATCATCACAACTGGGTTGGCAGAGGCAACCCAAACTCCTGGAAGATAGGAGGCATAAAAAGAAGAAGGGGACTAGTGGTGACCTTTAAAGGCATGCCCTCAGTGATCTACTTCTTCCATCTAGACCCCACCTGCTGAAGTTTTTATCATCTCCCATGACAGCACCACCAGTTAAGGGTCAAGACTTCAACACGTAAGGTACATTTCATATTCACACCATGAAATAAACCATGGATTTATACTGATCCATCGCATTTATTCATGGATTTTCCCCTGCCTTCTCTCATTCTGTATTTGTATATGCCATCTACCACCATGAACATCTGATTGCCGTGAGCAGCCACACAATTATCATTTACTCAATCACATATTAGTTTCATTCTTACATAAGCACATTCTTGCATATCAAGAATTACTGGAGTCAGTAATTTTACAGCTAGTTATTTATTAAACACAAAAGAGACCATATGTTCATAAAGTCTTGTACAAGAATGTAGCAGCTTTATTCATCATATACAAACACTGGTTATATAACCCAATTGTCTCAATAGAAGGATGGATAACTAAAATGATACAGTTATACACTGGAATAATACTCATCAATAGAAAGACTAATACATGGAACAATCTGGATGAACCTGAAAAACATAATGCTGAATTTTAGAAAGGAAACAGAAATGAATACATGAGGTCTGGTTCTGTTTTAGGCAAATCTAATCTAGCACCAAATCAGTATCGTCCTGGCTTCTTGTGGGTTGAGGCAGAACAAATATTACCTGGGGAGGGGGATGAGGAAGCTTTCTAAGATCAAGGAAATGTGTTTATGTTGGTCAGGATGTGAAGTGCATAGGTACATGCACTTGTCATAATACACTCAATTGCTGTGATAGCTGTGCATCTCATTGTCTGTACATTATAAACTTTGGCTGAAATGGAATGGAGGCTGCTCCTGTTGGCTGAAACTCCAACTGCCCAGTTTAAAACAGCTCATCCTCTTGCTTTGTTTCCTTTGTGATTTCCCCTGCCTCATAACTGTCCAGGCCCCTAGAAACATTTATCACTGTTAAGGTCAATAGTCTTACTTTCTTTTAGTATTTGATTACTTCTTTTTATCATTGTTTCAAACAGTATGAGCACAGCCTAGGTTGAAATTTAGCAGACAGTGATTTTCATGGACTATTTGTGTCTAGTCAGTACAGAGGGATTAACACAGTAAAGACATGGATGAAAATGGAAAATGTCTAAATTAACAACTTTCGGTTAATCCTCAATTTAAACCTTTGCCTATAGGGCATATTAAGACAAATGCAAAACCCAGACAAATCGGCTGCAGTGTACGCAGGTCTTGAGGAATGATTTCCAATCTTAGATGGTCAAACACCGGCTGAATGATGAAATGATTTTCTCAGACCTTCTCATAAATTCTGGTGCAGACCACACCCTTCATCATACATTCCTTAAAAGAGGGAGATTGGCTATTTAAAATACAAGTTAGAGAACATGACATTTGGAATAAAACAGCAGTTTACAACGAACTCATACGATTGCATTTAGAAAGGAATAAAATATTCATATGCCAGTTCTCCAGCAGTTCACAATTATGACCACTGAAATTTGAGGAAAACTTTGAAAGTTGATCTGTGTTTCTATCCATGATATTTATTAAGCAGCAATTTTTATGCATGGAATCCAAGAAAAAAAATCACAGTTAGCCGGGTGGTGGTGGCGCACGCCTTTAATCCCAGCACTCGGGAGGCAGAGCCAGGCAGATCTCTGTGAGTTCGAGGCCAGCCTGGGCTACCAAGTGAGTTCCAGGACAGACGCAAAGCTACACAGAGAAACCCTGTCTCGAAAAACCAAAAAAAAAAAAAAAAAAAAAGAGAGAGAGAGAGAGAGAAATCACAGTTATAACGCTTACTGTTGGTTGTCAGCATTGTGGGAGTTAGAATCATCATAAAGATAAAAGAAACCTCAAGGCATGTCTTTGAAGGAGAGTCTATATTGGGTTAGTTGAGGTGGGAAGACTTGAAGACCTGACACACATTGAGAGAAGTGCGTTCCATGGACCATGGCCTTAGACTAAAACAGAAGTGGGCAGGGTACAAGTGTCCATCTGTCCTTGCTTCCTGATGTCCACAACCAGCTACATCAAGTGCCTGATCTCCTGTCTTCCCTGACATGATGGACAGTATCTCCTCTAACTGTAGATCAAAATCCTCTTTGGGACCTGAACCCCACCCCCTCCTCTGCCGAAGCTGGTCTTTGGCATCGACTTCAGTGTGGATAGGACTTCACCTTGGGTATTGCAAGCCCCTTCTCAGAGAAAAGCTAAGTAAGAGTAAGGTGAAAAGTAAGAACATATGTAACACAAATCTTAAAAGGTCTTATAAAAACAAACCCGGAACCAGGTATTGGGTGAATGCTGAAAGATCAGAGAAGCAGAACAAGCCACAGCCACCTCACCTCACCAGTTCCTCAGCTGATCCTGTTTCCTCAGACTGGAAGCCTCTGAGTTCTCATCCAGAATGAATCTCAGTTGAACTGCTGCTAAAAGCCTAAAACCTTAACCAGGCTCTCACTCCTGGTCCTCATGCCTTATATACCTTTCTGCTTCCTGCCATTACTTCCTGAGATTAAAAGTGTGTGTCACCATGCCTGGCTGTTTCCATTGTGGCTTTGAACTCACAGAGATCTGGATGGATCTCTGCCTCCAGAATGCTAGGATTGAAGGTATATGTGTGTGCCACCATTTTCTGGCCTCTATATCTAGTGGCTGTTCTGTTCTCTGACCCCAGATAAGATTTATTAAGGCACACAATATATTGGGGAACACAATATCACCACAAACATATACTTGAGAAGTCATGGGCCGGAAGGAGTCTAAAGAAAGAAGACTCTTAATTGATACTATGCAGTGTACTCTTAAGAAAAAAAGGATTAAGCTTGCTTCTTCTAGGCTAACAGCCTTCCTACAATTTGTACAACAATTTAGTCCTTGGTTCCTGAAACAGGGACCCCTGGACTTGGAGACATGGGATAAGGCAGGTATCACAACCACAATTAAATGGAGCAAGCTGGGACCTAGAAGGCAGGCTGTGTAATGCTTCCCAGGTTGGAGCCAGAGGGTGACCCAAGTCCCTTCGGAAAGACGGTTTCCACTGTTGGAACTTGGTTTTGCCTTGTGTGGTTTTGTCTGTGCCCTGTTTTTTCCCTCTTGAAATAAAAAAGAAAATTTTATTTTTGAAAGATTTTAAACTGTTTTAAGAGGAAATTTTGGAGTTTTACAGAACATTTAAATTACAAAAATACTGGAAAATACTTAAATTGAGAGCACTTTAAGTTTGTAAAGAGACATTCAGTGCTGCTACACCTCTAAAAGGTCTGGGAACACATGCCAGTGGAAACTTTCTCTCTGCAATGTGTTACACCAGGCCCTTGACACTGAAAGCAGTCCCCTGCTTCTACCTCCAGCTCCCCCGTCACGTGAAAGGACACCTTTGTTAAAATGTCACAGGTCAAAGCAAAATATCTTTCATGTTTCCCAGGTTCCTGTAGTCTCCAAGGTTTAAAGCTTAAGAAAGTGATAAGAAACTGATTTAAGGTATATTTTTAAAAAAAGATTTGTAAGTCGCTCATTGGGCATGGTTAAAATCTATATAATTTGTAACAAAATTTGGCTTTAACATATAATAAAAAGCTTATAATTAAAATTCTATACATGGGTGTGTGTGTGTGTGTGTGTGTGTGTGTGTGTGTGTGTGTGTGTGTGTGTGCATGTAACTTGGATTATCATAGTTTGTTTTGTTTTATGGGATCCCTATCTGGGACATGGAGTGGGTTTAATGGGATCCCAATACTCCCGTCCAGGACAATTAGTGAGACATCCATCACCACCCACTTGCTTCTGTTTCATTGCTGGAAGTTTTTGGTCTGTCGTTTATGTATGTGGATTGGTCTATGTTTTCTGGTGTGTCTGTAAGTTTTGTTGCAAGCATGGAGCTAAGACAAATGGGTCAGATATTTTTCCTGTCTCTGCTGCTACCATCTCTGAGCTCTCTGGTCACTGGATTCAGTTTAGCAGAAGTTTAGATGTCTTCTTTGTGTGGATAACATTATTTAAAGTTCCCTCTGTGACCTGAGTCAGGTTGATCTGCCTGACACTGATGGGAAAAGTGTTAGAATTCTGCCCTCCCTCCAGCCACATGACTTCACATGTTCAGTTCAGGAGTTAAGCAAAAGTCTTGCGTCTTTCACCGTCAGTGTGTGCTGGCAACTATGCTCCGGAGTAGTCACGCAATCAGTGCCTGTGTGGTATAGCTCCGCACTGGGAGCCCTTAAAAAGCTGGATGCAGACCCTACCCTCTCTCTGCTCTGCTCCGCTCCCCCCCCCCCAGTCCACCATCTTTCTCTCTCTTTCCTTCCCAGGCCTGGTCCTTTTATCTCTCCTCTTCTTCCTCCTAATAAAGTTCTCTGCTACTAAGCAACCACATTCTGTCATGACCCTGAACTTCCCACTAGTAACCAACACTGCTTATCATTCATTTCAAAAAGGAAACAAAATAGAACAGCCAAAAAAACTATGCTTGGTTTATGTGAACATTCGGCACCTCAAGATTTATAAGTTTACTAGATATGGTTAAAAATCTGTAAAATCTATTTTTTTAAAAAAGGTTAAAACTAGTAACCCTGAGAGTTGATAATTAAAAATCTATGCATAGGCAATCTTAAAAGAACCCTGTGGCATGATTCCATCTTTAGGCAGCCAAGTGGCTGGTCACCATCTTTGCTAGGGTTGGAGAAGACGGGTGTCATGTGACTTCACCGCCATCCTAATTAAATGCGACCACGTGAAGTGGGCCTACCAAGGAGGGAACAACAGGTCTCCAAGATATTTTTGATTAGGATAGATTTTTATATGATAATTCCTGTCCTGCAAACAAGGTTTACAAAAGACAGGATTTAAAAACAATGTTTGCTTAATAAGGCATTAAAGCTACACCTCCATGCACTCAGACGCAAGAATGCACAAAGCCAAACTGTAACGCTGAGTCACCGGGTGAGATTGGTTTTAAGATATGAAAGGGTCACAGGGAACAGCTGAGGCCTGCAAAAGAGAGCCCAGTTGCAATGGTGGACCTTAACAATTTTGGAGATGTTGGTGCCATATGCTTGTCATCGGCACACGTGGCTGTGTCATCACAGCCACAATTAAATAGAGCAGGCTGGGACCTAGAGGGCAGGCTTTGTCATGGGGATGACCCAAGCCCCTTCGGAAAGACGGTTTCCACTGTTGGAGCTTGGTTTTGCCTTGTGTGGTTATGTCTGTGTCCTGTTTTTTCCCCTCTTGAAATAAAAAAGAAAATTTTATTTTTGAAAGATTTTAAACTGTTTTAAGAGGAAATTTTGGAGTTTTACAGAACATTTAAATTACAAAAAATACTGGAAAATATTTAAATTGAGAGCACTTTAAGTTTATAAAGTATTTTACTATAATGTCTTTATTAATATGCAGTCTTGATAGATGATAGGTCGCTTTAATGGCAGCAAGCACCAAGCTCCTTTCTCCCAAGGCTTCAGCTGCCTTCTCAATTCTCTTCAGGCCTCAGGCCTCACTTTCCTAGAACTGCTGCTACTAGGTCTACACACAGTTTACCTGGCTACCAGACTCAAAAAAAGAGATAAACTCACAAAACAGATTTCAGTGTAGTGTTTTACCATTCCTTTATTTAAAGGAGCTCGCTTTACAATGACTGCTCCCAGTAGTCAACCACCTGTATCTTGTGGTGAATGATTGAAGAAAAAAAAAAAGTGTAAAGTTTATGTAAGGTCTCTGGATATGAAAGCTTAAGTTATGAAGATCTAAAAAAAAGTTTTAGGGTCTAAGAAGATGTTTTAAGGTGTGAATAAAGGTCTGAGGACATAAAACAAAAAGTAAAAAGGTGTTTTGAGGTGTGTGGATGCAGTTCGTGAAGGTATAAGAAAGAATATGGCTTTAAGGTATATGAAAACTGGTTCAGATTTCTTTCCCTCTCTATACCATTGTTACATTAAGATTTCAAAAGTTCAGAGTTTTCACTTTAACCAACGGAGTTCTGAGAAGCTTTTCATCTAGTGCCGGTAAAGCACGGCTCCTATTCAGTCACAAGCTCAAGATTGTAAGTTTTCTTTGGTTGTTTTTTAAGTATAGATTTAAAAGTGCCTCTCCTTGTGCTAAAGACATCTGTCTAATATCTGTTCACAGTCTTCTAAAAGGCTCTTGTAAGCTTCAGGGAATTGACTCGGATCCCCCCCCCCCCCACACACACACACACCCCATTGGTCAGATGAATTACAGATAAGTACCTGTTAATCAACAGCCTATTTTCCCATTTCCCCACCTGCCAATTCCTGGCAGTGTGTGTGGGGGGGGGGCAGGAATTCTTCCCCTTTCCCTGATCTTGGGACTCCCCTCCCCCAGCTACCAGGACCGTGGACCTGGAAGTTTCAACTGTACACCTAAAAGAAAAAATAAAATTAACTTTATGTTCTGCCCCTAATATGTTATGTGTCTGCTCCAGCAGATTTCCTATCATTTAAAGACTTCAGACTGCTCCAACTCCAGAAGTTCCCACAGAGCCAGGCCAGCAAGAGAAGCAGCTGCTCTTCCTGGATTTGGTCAACATTCCAACCTTTTGGGTCCCTAACTAAGCCCCAATGTCAGCAGGAAGTAGTCATAGACGATTTCTTCATCCCTTATCGTTCGTTTATTGTCAACAAAAAGGCTGGGATGTGTCAAGTTTCAAACCCGGGACAAAAGGCTGAGGTGCCTATTTAACACATCAAAGTTGGACCTAGCTGCCAGGTTCTCCCAGAATCCCTCAGTCCCTACCTGTTACAGTCTAGGTCTCACAGACCCTGCCCTTTACCCTGAACTCCTTGGGCAGCCCTTCCTGCAGAGGCCCTATATAATCCAGACATTTTCGTTACAGGCCTTACATGGCCAAATTACTACAATTGACTAAGTTAAGTCATGCTGTTACAATCTTTCTCAGCTTCCATGGTGGAAAGATTTATAAATTCCTTAAATTCTTTTGGGACATGAAAATTTGGGGCATTATTCTAGCCTTTGTGCTCATTCTTCTCCTTCTCCTTCTGGTCATCCTCTGGTGACTGACAAGCCCTATTAGATCTCTTCATAATTTCTAGATGTCTAAATGAAAAAAATTTTAAGAAAGAGGAGATGGCACAGACCGCATGTGCAACCATTGCTGCTTGACAAAGTGCCACCGTTTTGATATTGCACACCACACTTCTCCAGCACCTTTTTACTTTCCTTTTTAATGATTCTTACTGTTAATGCCTTCCCCTTTGGGAATTTTGTTTGGACTTTGAATGATGAATATGTGTACAATGGTGGCCTCCCTAGACAAAATAATTCTTTGGTGAGAAATCCCTGCCACTGTGGAACCAGGAATTCCATTGTGCCTTCCTAACTACACCAAGATCAAGAAAGTTAGAGATTTACTAGACACACCTGATCGCAAGGATGAAATGCCTACAATTCAGATGTAAAGCCTGAGGCCATTAAAGGCAAGAGTTCAGTTAATAAGTATAGAGAAATCAGAATGGTACTGTGTAATGGGAAAAGAGTAAGACATTAGGACTTACTTTCCATTTTGAGAGTGTTAAGAGGGAAATAGGTCCACAAAGTAAGACTAAGACACAAAAGGATGCAACTAGGGAACAACTCAATGCTTATCCTCTTGAGGAATGAAAATTGCTCTTAAATTGTTGTATAGTATCTGCTTGCAGAGGAAGTCCTTTTCCCAAAGCCAGGCATTTGGATACGGGCCGCCATTCCCTCAGGGGCTTGAGGAAGGTTCCTGCTTGCTAAAGCAGTCATTCTCCTTATCGCTGGCTAGAGGAACTTGTGGCCCTTCCATTAGAATATACCCTGTGCTTATTGTCAAGGTCAGTGCTAGATTCCTCAACCCCTGGTCTCAGTCCACACCCCAGCTCACATGCCCCCTTTCTCCCATTTAATCCTATACGCAACTCTAAAATATAAAAGGTGTATTCTTTCTTCAGTAAATGCTGCCGGCAGTCATCCGGATTCACCCTCAGATTGTGTCCCATCCCCCCATCCTCCACACTCCACACACCCTCCTGGGACCCCTACCCACTCCCCCACCCTCCACCCCCGCCGAAGCAGATCTCCAGCATTGTTCTCTCTGAAAATGTTTTTTTTAAAAAAGCTGGTTTTAGTCTCAAGGAGAATAGTGACTAATAAAAAAAGGTTTTCACATTTGCCTTACCCAAAGAGCAGTCTAATAAACTCCCTAAGAGATTTGGATTGATTGATCTATAATGGAGCCCTCATGTTGGAACTGACTCCCCATGTAAATCTATTGTGCAGCGAGAGCTAAGACCCGATACACACTGAAAGAAATACTCAAAACATTAGAGGATTTTATGTACAGTCAGTGCCTGTGCTAATCAGTGAGTAAAGAGCCACAGCCTTAAAAATCCTCAGAGTCCATCTCGTGGACTCTTTTTCCTTATTCTGATCTGCCAACTAAAAGGTCTTCAGGACTTACAGCTTAGATTGCATTTTTTAGATTGGTTAGTGTAAGTTCCTATGGACTATTGAAAGCAAAGTGCTCTTACTACAAATGATCTATATATTATTGAGCTTGTCGGGGTTATATTTTACTTTCTAAGTATACACTTAGCTTTTTGGGGTTTTTTTTTTTGTCCAAATAAGTGACATTTATCCATAGTTCCATAATTGTTTAAACTGCTACTTGAACTGCTATTTATTGTTTAGCTACTGCTCCTTGAAAGTCTTGAGCTAACACAGGACTTAACTATGAATCTTTCATGGTATTTCCCCTCAAACCCCAACTCTGGCTTTAGTCTTAGCATTTCTGTTCCTTTGTATTCTAAAGAACAAGGGGCATTTTGAAAGCAGCATAATCCATGTATTTGTATAGATTACTTCTGTCTTGAGAACTGGGGATGCTCTTACCACTACCATCTTCCCATCCAGCAACTTTCTCTTTATGGTGGTCTCTTTGCCATCCCATTTCTGCACGTGTCTCAGCGATCCTCTCTCCAGCGTCACCATGCTCTACGAAGACAAGTTCATGTGGTTGGCTTGCCTCAGTGTCCATGACAGATGTCTCAAAAGTCATGTCCATTTCCCACCCCTCTGGCTCCTAGAAGGAACAATCCTGACTCTCAATAGTTGACTGGACCAACTTTCAAGAAAAATATCACATATTACCTTGGTTTTTCTGTTGTCAGCTGTGGTTTCTTCAAACTCCTGGCCCAGCTTAAAGGAGATCTCTGTATTTTTAAAGGCACTTTCAGTTCTTATGGTCATATAATCCCCCTTCTTGCTGATGATCACATTGGGCTTGGCCAAATTTCCCAGTTTTCTGTTGGCTAACCCTACACCTGAAAAGCAAGGCAATACCAAATTGTGTTGGTAAAGGCAGCACATCTGAGGGACAATGGTGGCCACATTCTGTATCAGTGGTACCTTCAGTGAGCAGATGGCGGGGCTTCCACCCAAGGGCTTCCTCCCATGCTTCAACAATGAGTGAAAAGCATGTCAGTGACATAAGCATTTAGTGTAGTTCTACAACAGTGATGCCTACAGAGTTCACAGAGTAAAACTATTCAGTTTGCCCATTTTGCCATGCCCAGTGCTACCCTTACCACAAAGTAAGTTATTTCAGATTCATATGAAGCATTAAAGATATTTCATTTTGTAATTACAAACGTTGTAGCTGCTTTCAATGAGACAATCTCTCTTCTCCCTCTCCACCCCCCACACCGTTTTGTAATATTTTCTCCGTCAATAAGGAGCTATGGGCATAGCGAACAACCCCCTTCAAATCCTTGATAGAATCTCATTTCTGACATTTTGTAGTTCCTAAATCTGCCTGATGGAAAAACCAAAATAAAACAAACTGTCTGTCACCCTTTTCTGTGTGTAGCCACTGTTCCAACACTTCATTAGTGTGACTGAATCTGAACTCACTGCCGCCAACCAGTTCTTTTGATCTCAACCACTTTTAAACATTACAAACATCCTCATCCAGGAGATGTTTCATTTCTCAAGCTTCACACACTTATGAGATTATTTAATAATAGACAAACTCAAGGCAGAGAGAGAAAAAGAATTTTTAGCTTGTATAAAGATTAAAATTTTAAGTTGCAGTTTTCTAATATTCAACTCTTAATCTTATGAGCATGCTAAATTTCTATTAAACCAGCTTTCACAAAATCCCAGAATACGGATTGACTAAAATTCTAATATTTTTTCCCAAGTCTCCAATGACAAACCTGTGAAGCTGTCCTCAAGTTCCATGCATATAAATACCTTCATTTAAGTTAAGTTATAACAATTAATTGCCAATTAAGTGGAAGTAAATTTTATGAGTGACACAGAAGATTGCACTTCAGCCCATACAACATTCCCCAGACACCTGGGGGAAAAAAAGAAAACAGAAGAAAATCTCGCGCATCTTTCTTTAAAGGGATGTTCACCGTGGAGGGTTTCTCACCCAGAGCTTTCATGTAGTCATCAAAATGCTCACTGGAGACAAGTTTCCAGGTGCCTAGGAATTTGTTGCTCATTGTGACGGACGAGAGTTCAACACAGTTCCTGGTGGGACGCAGCAGATGTCCATGAGCTGCTGAGACCTTACACAGTTCTTTTCAAACATACCCAAAGCATGTGACTTACCCTGAGATCCAATGGGGAAAAGCAGTGACGGACCGGGTGATGAATGACTCCTAAGTCATAAGCTGCCTACTCATGGGAAAAGAAGCCCTCATATAATGTCCCTGTGTGTTTCAAAACCATGAAAATAACTGAAAGTATTGTTTGAAACTTCAAAATATTTTTTTGGTTGATCTTACATTGATATGAGTGTTTAAGTCTTTCTATGTATTATATGATCGTGTGTGTGTGTGTGTGTGTGTGTGTGTGTGTGTGTGTGTGCCCACGAGTGTGTATGAGTGCACATTCATGTGTATAGGCATCTTGGTGACTCTTAATCCTGATTCTGCACAATTCAAATTTCTTAAAAGAAGGAAAAGGTCTGTGAGCATTGTAATAAGAGTCTCAAATATGCTGTGGGAGAGAAAAGGAGGGCCACAGTGTGAGGACACATTCAGAGGTGAGGGAGGCTTGGCATAGTTTTCGTATTCTGGGCAGGCTGAGTAGGCAGACAAGAAGGTCAGTCTGTCACAGCAGAGCACAGAAGTTGCATTCATGTGTCAGGATGAGAAGCAGCACTGTTGTGTGCTCTTTGACCACAGTTAAGATTTCATTTCAGGTTCTTAAAGAGCAAACCTGGAGATAATAAGTTCTTAGTTTCTATGACAACTTTGAATTTAAGACACTTAATAAAGATCTAGAGATTTATAAAAAGGTGATTTCCCACAAAATAACACTGATGGATGCTGAGAGCTCAGTGTAGCATGGTCCCCGTGTGATGGGCTTGCTTCAGATCGCCTCATTTCATCCTCTCAGCCCCACAGACACACACTATTGTATGTCCAGCTTGACAAGGAGGAAAAGGCAACTTATTTCCAAAACTAAAACGAAAGTCAGGGTTTAAGCTAGCTTTGTTCCTCAGTGCTGGACTCTAACTCTGGACTAATATCTCCCCCCCCATCCCCACAACAAAACACACACACACACACACACACACACACACACACACACACACACACACACACATACATACACAGGTACACACACACACAAACACAAACACATACACACATACATACACAGGTACACACACACACAAACACAAACACATACACACATACATACACAGGTACACACACACACAAACACAAACACATACACACATACATACACAGGTACACACACACACACACACACACACACACACACACACACACACACACACGCATACATGTGCACATACCCACACAGACCCTGACTGACAATCAGAAATCTTAATATCGCCATGGCCTTTTAGTACTCTCTCTCTCTCTTCTCAACATCAGAAGTGATAATCAAGTGAACCAGGTGACACATTAGAATCCCAGTCTTTGACCAGGGGGAGCCAATGTCAATCTAGTTCATATTAGTCTTGCTCCCAGGAATGGCTGGATGGCTGCCACTCCTTCCTGCCAGGTTTTCTATACTAGCATTAACGCTGGCTGAGTAACAACTATTAGCACTGGATTTTACATTTTCAGCACACAAGTTGCCAGTGCTCACGGCTACAGAACTAAATACCCCACAGCCACTTCACTTCTAACGGATAGAATCCTTCACTACAAAGGCTCAGGTCCCCAGTACTGTAGCTGGACCATCTCTCTTGCAGTCACGTGGTTTGGCATCAAATGGACTGAGAAATGAGGCAGCATATACAGTGAGCCAGGGTCATCTTCCATTGCCAGTGTCTGGTAATTCTGCATGGGATCCAACAGTGAACAGGAGAGTTCCTTAGTCAGCCCGCTCCTAAACCCAAGGTAATGTAAGTGGAGAAAGTTTGTTGTATTGGGATAGAAACAATCAAACAAGGATTAAAAGGGGCATTGTGGAAGGCCTCAAATTCAAGGCCATTAGGATACTTTAAGACAGTGAGACTCTGTCTTAAACAACAGTAAAGAGCACTCATATAGTGAATATGCTATTTTCTTTTCCCAAGACTTTATGAAGGTGATGGTATCACTAACACCCCCACAAGCTTTTGTCATCCTTATTCTATCAAGAAGTACAACAGTCAATGTGTAGTTTTTCTGCACAAGTTACTGAAGGTTTTCTTACCACTCTACCCGTATTCAGGCAGAGTACAAAAGAAGGGATCTGTGGATTCCAATGGCCCCTGAGTTAAGCATAAGAATAAGGATGCTGTTCAAGATTCACAATAGGCCATATGTACTGCCATGGTAGAACACTTAAAACAGTGATGCAATTTTATACCAAGAAAATAATCTCTTTTAGGCAAATCATCAATTGTGTCTGACTGCCAAAGTTGACCAGATATGCTTGGACCAAGATGAGATTCTGAAGTCAATGTATGGACCAAAGTTACAGATAAAAGGCAGTGAGAGAAATCTTAACTGAAGCAAGCTCAAGGCATTAGGAGACTCATTAGGAAATGTCCTGGAGAGAGGGTAAAGAACAGATACCAGAAACACATGGAACTGAATGCGTATAATTAAAATTTAGTAGAGTAGATAATATTTTGCTATTGCCATGAACTCAAATCTTTTCCTCTCAACAACTGATTACCCATGTTAATTCTTGACATGGGTAAGGTTTTTGAATCATACACATCAAAATCACATCAAAAGACCCAAAGAAAATGGATGAGGAAAGCATGTCCATAAAACCTGCCATGGCAATGTCTCTTAGGTACCGTTTTCCAGCTCTATTACAATCATTTATTTTGGAAAAGAAATAGAAAAAGCATTGTGTAGTGGATGGACGGGAAGAAGTATTCATGATTTTCCATGGGATGGCACATCTCACAATCATGATAGTGCATTTATATTTAAGGGACGGCTAAATGCAAAGCCTTGTTGGAGGTTTACTGATACACCATTGGCTCCTGCCCGTGGGAGTCTTATACTCTAATTAAGAAGGCAGCTATTAAGCATTTAGGGACATGTGATAAAAATTACTATCCAAGGCAGTTAGAGATGGAAGCCATGAGAATGCCACTGAAGAGCCAGGTGACTGTGGCCATACCAAAGGTGCTTGGCATAGTTCCATTTTTTAAATCTTTGAGTGTGTGTGTGTGTGTGTGTGTGTGTGTGTGTGTGTGTGTGTGTGTGTGTTTCTGTGTGTGGATGAGAGGGTGTGTGTGCTAAGGGAGCATTTGTCGAGCTCAGAGGACAATCTTGGGTGTCAGTCCTTGCTTCCTGTCTTGTTTGAGACCCTGACCAGTGAGCTTCCTGGCATTTTCTTGTCTCCATTTGCTATCTTGCTGTAGGAATTCTGGGGCTACAGATGTAGGCTATAGTGTCAAGCTTTCATGTGGGTTCCAGAGATTTGAACTCAAGTCCTTACACTTGCATGGCACAGTTTCCACACTGAATCATTTCCTCAGCCCTAATTTCTTTAGCTTCCTGGATGTGTTATGAGCAACACTCTGATTCATTCACTTTCAGAGAACAGTCAATTGGGCATCTGGTGTTCTTCTGAGGCATCACCATGGGTCCAAATATCCCAACCTTCCTCTTTCATGCTTCAAATAAATACCTTTCAAAGTCCAAGAATGCCGAGATTAAAATAGCTTTCTTAATGCAAACCATACCTGCAGCTTCCTCAGTTACCAGTGGCTAGTCTTTTGGTTACCATGGTGATAACTGAATCTATGCTATCCCAATGGTAGCAAATAACTTTTCCTTCATGGGATGGTAATAAAAGCAGGAGAGAAGGAGCTATGAACCCTCCAAACGATGCAATTAGCTTTTTTCTTGGCCAGAATCTAATGCGCTCTGGATCGTCTCCAAAGGCAAGTGTAAGATTTCACCTCATTATTTCTAATAGAAGAGCTGAGCACCGTAGGCACTGGATGGGGATGAATAAAAGACAGTTTCTACATTCCAGCCTCTTCCCCTGGTAATTCCAGCATCTGCTGGGCTTCCCACAGCTGTGCTGCCTCCTTTGTCTTTGCTCTTGGAGAGAAAGTGATCTTAACATTTTCCAAATACATTCAAGTAGGTTGACCTTTCCGGGATCAACACAAAATGCTGTAGGAGACATTTCTAGGATGCAGCGCTTCCACAGTGCTGATGGAAGAAAAGAATCTCTTTAAAACAATTCACTCCCAAAACATACTGGAAAGTGTGTGTGTGTGTGTGTGTGTGTGTGTGTGTGTGTGTGTGTGTGTGTGTGATGATTTCATTACCCAGGCATGTGCCTTGCTTCCTCCTTTCTTTTCTTGATAGCATCTTAGAATCTTGTTTTCAGAAATTGAAGTGGTTCAAGGCTGCTAAAGTGTAATTTGCATATGACCTTCAAGTGTAAATGTTTGAAATTAGGTCAGAGGAGCTTTTATCCAGCCAGCCCAATCTTTATTCCCTCAGATGACTGAAAAATAGATGTATAGTTTTCACATTCTAGACTAGAGTAGAGCATGCACATGACTGTTGATTTCAGGGTTCTCCATGCCAGAAGACAGGGATTACTTGATTTCTAGGGGATCGCAAACCACAAACCATCTCTGCTATAGTGGCTTCAAATTTAGGGGCATAGAGTCCTCACATCATTCTCTCTCTCTCTCTCTCTCTCTCTCTCTCTCTCTCTCTCTCTGTGCGTGTGTGTGTGTGTGTGTGTGTGTGTGTGTGTGTGTGTGTGTGTGTGTGTACAAGGGTACATTCTCTCTCTGGATGTACAGGTGCATCTATGTGTGACTGTGGAAGCCCAAGAATAACTTCAGGTGCTGTACCTCAGGACCTATCCACCACTTGTTTGTTTGTTGAAGTGAGGACTTTCACTGGCCTGGAACTCACTGAGTAAGCTAAGCTGGCTGGCCAGTGAGCCCCAGGTACCCACCTGTCTCTGCCTCCCCAGTGCTGGGATTACAAGTGAACCCAGGGTACCAAGCATTTTTATGTAGATTCTAGAGATTGAACTCAAATTCTTATGCTTGAAAAGCAAACACTTTTACCCACTGAATATATATAT